TGGCTCAATACCAAATGAATGCATGAGAGTTGACCAGAGACCCTCTTGTTCCAACTTCTGGGAACCTTCTTTCTAGATTTAATGAAGTCCCTTCCTAACTTTGGATGAGGAATTTTAGAACTGGAATAACTTTGTCAATAAAGAAATCAAGATACTGAAGGAAACATGATTTGTGAACCATACAGCAAGTTAGCCACCAAGCAGGACTTGAATACAGCTCATCTGATTTCCGGCCCCAGGGCGTCTCTAGATGTTGTTACAGGTGAAAGAATCTAAGACGTTGGGCTGAGTCTGGCTGATCTCAGGTCATTCCCTGAAAAATCATTTGCCAAATCATTTTCTTATACTCCTTCTCCCAAATAAAAATTATTTTTCAATTTTGAGTTCAGCAAATCAAAGAAATACCATCAGTATTATCTCTTGTCACATCTTCTATCTTCAGGCCTCAATGAGCATGAAAATATGTTGCCAAAAGCCATTATTATCTTTGGCTGATATCCCGGAACCCATGACTTCCCCAAACCAAAGCTGAATTGCAGAGTAAAGCTGGCTTGTGACGTTCAGGAAAACACAGGGACATGGATTTCATTTCAAAAGAAAAATAGTTAACATGAGAAAGAGTTCCTCTTTTTCATTCTTTCTCTACAACAAAGCACTTGGTTCAAAGTGAGACTGCTGACTTAGGAAATAAAAGAAGAAAAACAGGAAGCAGTAAATTGTCTAACGAAGCGCATATATATATATATGCCTAATATGCAAAGCGTCCCCTTGGGAGTTTGACATACCAGGAGTTCGATTGCTCACTATGACGTGTGCTGACCACCAGGAGGGCAGCACAGAATGAGTGAAGGCTCTGGCTGGCAGCTGCTAGGGACCCTACCTGTGCACGAATTTTATGCACTGGGCCTCTACTTGTATTCAATAAAAGGCTCCCAAACAACATCATACTTTTATACATGAGGCCCTGAATCAATGGAAAGTTATGCAGAGTGTATGAATGAATCTAATACTCATCCTCTTAAGTTTATACTATTAAACTTTCAGGGCCTCTTACCTTCCCGTGTATCATTCAAGAAAGGAGCTCTGGTGTCTTCTTCATATTATTCCTACCCTTGAACAAATACTCTTATGTTATTTAAAAAAAAAAAAGAGTGCCAAAAGAAATTTAATTTAAAAAAAAAAAGATCCTTTACCTAAGTCCCCTTAAAGATCTATTTCAGGCACTGTGGCAGTGTTTGAATCATTTGCCAATTAAAATTTTTTTTTCTTGTTTTATTACATCGGTTGAGACTTTTAGTACAAGGTTGAATAGCAGTAGGTATTCTTGCTTTTTTAGATATAATTTACAATTATGGAATATTACTTTTTTGGTTTTTATTTTATTTTTTAAATTATGAAATATTTTAAACATAAGACTATAGAATAACAAATGCCCATATATCAACCATTCAGCTTTATCATATTTGTTTCTGACCCTTAAAAAACAGCTTATATATTGCTCTAGCCAGTTTGGCTCAGTGGCCAGAGCATCCGCCTGCAGATTGAAGGGTCCCAGGTTCAATTCCAACCAAGGGCACATGCCCAGGTTGCAGGCTCGATTCCCAGTAGGGGGCATGCAGGAGGCAGCCGATCAATGATTCTCTCTCATCATCGATGTTTCTCTCTCTCCCTTTCTCTCTGAAATAAATATATATATATATTTAAAACAAACAAACAAATAAAAACAACTTATATATGAGGGCTCCTCTGACCCTGCATCCTCCACTCAGAAGTAACCACTGTTATAAATTAATGTTTATTATTACTGTAAACCTTTATATTCTCAATATGCAATTATACATCTATAAAAATTACATGGTACAATGAAAAGAATGAAAGACATTTTCATTTATTACTAAGTGAAAGAAGCCCATTTGAAAAGCCTGGATACTGTAGGATTCCAACTATGTTACATTCTGAAAAAGGCAAAAGTCTCAGTGTTTGCCAGGGGTGAGGATGAGGTGATGAATAAGCAGGGTACAGAGGATTTTAGGGCAGTAAAAATACTCTGTGTGACATTGTTATGATGGATATTTCATATGCATTTGTGCCTAAACTCATAGAATGTACAGCACCAAGAGTGAGCCCTAGGTAAACTACGGACTTTGGGTGATTATGATGTGTCAATGTTGGTTCATCCATGGTTAAAAAAAAAAAAAGGTTCTGTTCTGGTGTATGATATTGAGGGAGGCTATATGTGTGTGGGGGCAGGGTGTATAGGGGAAATCTCTATACCTTCCTCTCAATTTTGTTGCAAACCTAAAACTTCTCTTAAAAAATAAACTATTGCCCTGCCAGTGTAGCTCAGTGGTTGAGAGTCAATCTATGAACCAGGAGGTCACAGTTCCATTCTTGGTCATGGCACATGCCCCATTTGCAGGCTTGGTCCTGGTTGGGGGAGTGCAGGAGACAGCAGATCAATGATTATCTCTCCTCATTGATGTTTCTATCTCTCTCTCCCTCTCTCTTCCTCTCTGAAATCAATAAAAATATATATTTAAAAAATAATGAGAAAGTAAAACCCAGCTGGTGTGTCTCAGTGATTGAGCATCAACCTATGAACCAAGAGGTCACTGGTTGGATTCCTGGTCAGGGCACATGCCCAGACTTCGGGCTCAATCCATGGCAGGGGGTGTGCAGGAGGCAGCTGCTTGATGATGTTTCTCTCTCATCAATGTTTCTATCTCTATATCTTTCTCCCTTCCTTTCTCTCTCTTAAAAAAAAATCAATAAAATTTTTTAAAGAGCTAATGGAAGTAATTAACAGGTTCCCTACAGGTGGAATCCCTTGTGTAGATTTTTTTTTTTAATCTGTACCTGAAAAGGGAGAGAGAGAGTTAGAAACATCGATGAGAGAGATACATCGATCAGCTGCCTCCTGCACATCTCCCACTGGGGATGTGGCCGCAACCCAGGTACATGCCCTTGACCGGAATCAAACCAGGGGCCTTTCAGTCCGCAGGCCGATGCTCTATCCACTGAGCCAAACCGGTTTCAGCAATAAAGTATTTTTTTAAATTTTATTTTACTTTTCCATCACTATTTATCCCCTCTATGACCTCTTCCATCTCCACCTATGCAAAAATTAAGTATTTTTAAATTACATAATATTGTTTTACAGCTGTAAATTTTTAAAATAAATGTTATTATTCCATGTAGATACTTCTGCAAGAGTGAGCCGTAGGTAAACTATGGACTTTGGGTGACTATTTTTCCTTTCAAATTATTTTTGATAAAAGTTATTATGTTAGCTTTCAGCTAATTCTGACCAACGAGGCAACTGGTCACCAAATACCCTGTGAGGCATCAGGAAAAAGGTGAACTTGGGTTGGGACCAGCAGTTGCTCCACTCTGGCTGAGCAGGAAAACTGCTGCCTACGGTATATCATATCTTTTTTGTTTTAACTTTTTATTGTGGAAAATGTCAAACATTTGCTAGAGTAGACAGCACAGTGTAATGGACCTCCACGTACCAATCAACCACATGCAACATTGATCAGCTGGTGGTCAGGCTGGTTTGATTTGTACTCTCACAAAGTCCCCCCAGTCCTGATCACTACTTCATAGCAAATCCCAGACACTATTGCATCTCATCTCTGGTACTCACAGTGTTAAACCCAGCTGGTGTGTCTCAGTGATTGAGCATCAACCTATGAACCAAGAGGTCACTGGTTGGATTCCTGGTCAGGGCACATGCCCAGACTTCGGGCTCAATCCATGGCAGGGGGTGTGCAGGAGGCAGCTGCTTGATGATGTTTCTCTCTCATCAATGTTTCTATCTCTATATCTCTCTCCCTTCCTTTCTCTCTCTTAAAAAAAAATCAATAAAAATCCCCTCATGGTTCCCTTAAAAAAATAATAAAGTATTTTTTTTAATATATTTTATTGATTTTTCACAGAGAGGAAGGGAGAGAGATAGAAAGTTAGAAACATCGATGAGAGAGAAACATCGATCAGCTGCCTCCTGCACATCT